GCAAGTTGGGTCCGGATTAGTCGGGGTGAAGCTCCGGATACCGGGCGGGAAACAAAAAAAATATATATATATATATTAGTATTATTTTTTCTTCTAGTTAAAGATGATAAACAAAAGAAATATTCACATAGGTGTGAAAAAATTATTAGCTTTTTGAAGACAATCAATCAAAAGTCAAGATTAAGCGATTTACAACATTATACTTCAAATTTTAGTACTGTTATTACACCATAACTCACTTCCCAATAATTTCATTGTAAAAAATGAAGAACAATTAAAATTTGATTCACTTGAATTAATAATACTTATACTTAACCAAAACTAACAAGCCGAATGCATTTATAAAAGTATTCCAATTCAAAGTCTAATATTGTAAACCGCTTAAACTTGGCCTTTTGATTGATTGTCTTCAAAAAGTTGATAAATTTTTCACACCTATGTGAATATTTCTTTTGTTCGTCTTTAACTAGAAGAAAAAATATGTACCAAAAAAAAAAACTAGAAGAAAAAATAATACTAACATATTAGCAAAGGGTAAATTACTTGTACTAATTAAATTAAAGTCAGTAGTAGAATAAATTATAAAGTATTTTTTGTAAATTGACAAAATGAAAAGAACACCCCTTTGTGTTCATTTTTGGAGGCATAAATACTTTTCAAGTTATTAGTGACCTCATAGTCATCCATACGCTACTTGAGAACCTATAGTACCTTCATAAAAAAAAAAAAAACTATAAAAATCTGAAATGGAGGAAGGATTACTTTTTTTTTCTCAAGAGGCATTGATTTTCTCCTTTTGGGTATTGGTTTTCCATTATCAGTTTTTTCAACAGTTTTTACCGTAATAACTTTGCGAGTGAACAACTAATGACATTCTCTATCTAGAAAAGATGAAAGGAGTTTTTGAAGTACCTTGTAGGCCCGATAGTATTCATTGCTACCTTCAAATATGGGAAGTAGATTTGGAAAGAAGACTTGACGAAATTTATAACCCTGAATGTGATTAAAGACATCTAAAGCATTTCCAAGGTTTTCAAATCTTTGTATAAAATAGGAGAAGAGATTACCATTAAAATATAGTTTTACTTCATTGTTACTACTAATAGTAGCTATGAGCAAAGATATACTGCAACAAAAGAAAATGTATCAATATAATATAGGTCTTTTCACATAATATTATATCGTTATTTAATGTATCAATATTATATGATATTGTAATTTAGTGTATCATTATTTAATTTGTTTTTATTTAAAAATTTATTTATAATA